AGTGGCTTTAAATCATTAAATATCTCCAAAATAAACCTGTCAGCTCAGATCAGGTATCATCAGAGGGGGAAAAAAACAAATGTAGCATAGAACAGTTGTGGTGTGAATCTCTGCATGCTCAGGGTAAGGTATGAGAAGCCATTAGTGGAGTAAAGGCCACAATCTGGAATGATCTGAGAAGATATCAGTTCACAGGCCGTCTGTGTATGTGTCAGTGTCCTTAGTAGGGTTACGACTAGGCTGAAGTCCATTAATCATCTGGACTAACTAACGAATGCCATTTTAAATACACATGCGCATGTTTCGCACACACATTTCACATTCTCATCGGTGTAAGAGTCACGGACACGCTTCAGTGTCCCGGTCTGTTTAAAATAGACCTGCATAATACATGAAACGCAGACACGCAAGAGGAACAGGTGTGAGACAGAAGGTGTCAAAGTGTGTGTGTGACAGCAGCAGCAGCGGACTAAGAAAACAGACATTCTTGCCCCCTTCAAATGTGCCTGTGAATGGCCATTAAAAGTACTTAAAAAATCCAATATTGTGTCACAGCAAAAAGCTCCCTCTGCTGATGGGATTTATTTCTGTTTCTTTCCAGCTCGCTCTCTCTTATCAGGGTCAGAAGCCACTGAAAGACAAGCAGGCAAATGCTAACTTTTGGTCGGTTTCCAGCTCCAGAGCAATTTCCCACGTAAAAGCCCCTGGGAGGGAGAGAGAGTATGACTGGGAAAACCAGAGGGAAGGCTTGTGACGTCCCTTAAAGACGCATGTTTAAAGACTTCCCAGCAGTGAGTAAAAACACAGTGACTGATCTCCCCCCCAGGCCCCAAGCACTGCTTGCTTTACAAGACTCAAACACATGAACCCTATCAGAGCTTCTGACGCTCGTTCCCACTATCTGTCACCCACACATCATACGTTTATTAGGTTTGTTTTCAGTTGGTTATGCATGTCATCTCTGCTGAAGAAAAAGATTAAGCCAGTCTAAACTGGTTTTAGATGGTCTTTTAGCTGTTTGTTGGCTATTTTAGCTAGATGGTCAACTGGACAACCAGACTAGCTAGAAAATGTTCTCAAAACCCCAAATTACTCTGGGAGGCCACCTAAGACCAGAAAAGCAGCTAAGGCTGGTTTAAGATGTTTGTTTTTTTTTCTGCAGGGATAGCACAATCGTACAACTCTCAATGCTTAAAATGTAAAAAAAAAAAAAAAAAAAAAACAGTCTAAGATGGTTAGCACAATCATTCTTCTCTCTGGTCTTAGCTGGTTTAAGATGGTCTGCCGGTATTGACAAGCAGCAAACTGGTCTTAAAGTCTGAAAAGTGCACAAAACCCTCTAAAACCAGCATGGGAGACCATCCTAGCAAACAAATTTAGGTTCTGGGAACGTTAGTTTTTGGTTCCCAGAACGTTCCTAGAACATTCTCCTATAAACATGGAACGTTCCTATAACGTTCTTGTTTGGTTCCCAAAAAAATAACCTCATGGGACCATTTGGGAACTTTAGGGGAACGTTCTGTGTTTGCTGGGATACAATATCAACAAAACCAAAAAGGTGTTTTTCCAAGCTCTCAATGCTTAAAAAAAACAAACTGATAAACCAGGCTAAGCTAAGTTAAGATGGTCAAACTGGTGTTTAGCTAAACTGGTCTGACCAGCTAAAGAGTGCCCAAACGCCTCTAAAACCAGCCAAAAGACCATCATGGAAAGGAAATGGTCATCCCTGCTGAAACAAACAAACAAACAAACTGCTTCACACTACAGTTAACAAGTTTAAGCTGGTCTTAATTGGTTAAAGCTGGAGCAAGTAGCCATCAAACCACTCTAAAACCAGCCAACCAGGCGAGCCTGACCAGGCTGAGAGACCAGCAAACCACCTTAAAGTGGGGGACGGCACAATCCAACTGTCCCTGCCGAATCAAATAAAAATAATAAACCAGCCGAAGGTGATTTTCTGGTATTAGCTGGTTTCATTTAAGTGACCAGCTATTTTTCCCAGGCTGATTAGTTGCCTAAAACCTCTTTAAAACCAGCCAACAGATGAGCCTGACCAGGCTGGGAGACCATCGGCACAATCATGCAGCATTCATTCTAAGTACAATGTTAATGAAACAAACCATCACGCATTACAGAAACTCACAGTACACGAGATGTTTATTTGGGCGGAGATTGCTAGGAAATGTGACACAGACTTATAACTGTCAGACATTGTGTTTGTGTGTTATTGTGTCTGTCTCTCTAAGAGTGTGTCGCAACTCTCAGTTTGAGAATCTAGAAGCAAATAAGACTAGTGCTTATTTACATTCCTTGATTCTACAACCAGAGCCGATAACTGACCCAGTTCTTTAATCCATCTTACGCTCACACATACACATGCAGAGGCAGGTATATACTGTATTAGCCAGCCAGGCAGGAGGAATCAAAGCTAAAGCTGGAAAAATAGCCTTGGGATCTGATGACAGGGATGAGAAACAGGTGGTGCGTAGAGGCCAAAGAATGGAGAGCTTTATATTCTGTAAAGATACTATGAAGAGATACAGCCTGCCTTGACATAATATGGAACAGACTAATGCTACAAAGTCAGCAGGTTCATTTTTCTGTGCATCATCTTATTCGCATTTGCTCCACGCTGGTTTTAGCCTGCCCAGACTAGGAGATCAAGTAAGACCGGCAAACCAGCTTAACATGGTTAAAGCAGTTATTTAAACGTCTATGTGTTTCAGAAGGGCCAGGTAACTTGTACAAATACTCATTTAAATGCACTCCCAGACTTAAGACTTTTGCACTCCCTGACTTGTAGTAACTTTGTCTGTTGTCTGGTAGTTTATGGTGTTGTGTTGTGTTTGACAGAAGCTCCAGTCAAGCTGTGAACTATTGATATAACAGGCACCGGTTTTTACCAACTAGCCAAACACGTTCTGACAGCCTCACACAGGCCGACCATTGTCAAGGCTCCTGTAGCCAGAATGCTATTGCCAGCTACTGTCTTTATGGATCAGAGCAAAGAAAAACACAGGGGAAAGGCTAACCAGTGCAGTCAGATCTTCTTTCATCTCATCTTTTCCACCTCTACTGTCAGACCCCAAACTTTACAAAAACTTTTCCAAAAATTACCATTCCCTCCAAGTCTGTGAAGGCATGAACTTTCAGCTCTTTGAAGATGGCTAAAATTGCTGCGTTTGTTACCGTTCCCTTCAGTTCTCGGACTGGAGTGGTTATCTTCCATGCGCAGCTGTCCAACAAGCTGCCGGCTAAAAAGAAAAGAAATCTCTCGTTGGGCGTGAGTGTAATGTGCAGATTTGCACTGATTGCACACGCTCACATGAATACAAATATGGTCATCCATGACGACCTACAGTAACTACCAATGCTGGGGTCTTTGTGTTAAAGCGCAAACCAAAACGGTTCGAAACCTCATGACCTTCCTCCTCCATGTGGAACACAAAAGAAGATATTTTGCAAATTCAAAGAAAGTCAATGGGGTTGGACCCCATTGACATTTCCAATTGATTTTTTCTTTTTCTTTTTAAACACCAAGACATTTTTTTCTTAATATCTTCTTGTGTTCTAAAGAATAAAGAAACTCATACAGGTTAGGAATGATTAGGAATGATTAAATCACAACATTTTTTCTTTTGTCAAATCAACTTAAATAATTTATGTAGTTCATTTAACATTATTTTTTGAGTCTCCTTCATTGTATTAACTCGATTTTTCCATTTCAGTGAACTTAAAATTTTAAGGCAACCAGGTTACTTCATTTTTTTAAGTTAAACCAACAATAATTGAATGAGCACTTGCAGTGTTTTAAACAAAACTGTATTTAAAGATAATATAATATCAATGAAATAAAAGGCCACTTAATTGTACTTAAAGAGAGTACACTATCATGTTTCTTAACACATTTTTTAAAAAGCTTGATCCTTTGTAACAAAGTAACATTTTAAGTTTTACTTTAAAGTACATCTTTTGTTAAGTACACTTATTTTGATGTGTTGTGTCCAGAAAGCACTCCTAAGTTCAGCTTACTGCATTTAATTTACATTTGAACTATAATATATTTTCATTTAATTACAATTTTAAAGTAGATTATTTCCGTAATAAGTAAAGGCATGCTAGTTTTTTTCATTAGGGTATTGGTTTAATTTCAGTTTCAGTATTTCAAATTAATATTCCAACCTAAGTACTTTTTAACTGAGAAAACCAACCCCCATATTTCATTGAAATGGTTTCATATTTACTTCTGTGGGAGGCTTGTTAATAATACATTGACTAAAGAGGCTAGAAGTTTGCATTTCCTGACAAACACCTGTAGTGTTCACTCCACTGCATGCCCTTGACCAAATCACAGATCTCTAAAGAAGCCAAAACCACACAAGCTTTTAATGGAGATCCTCACACTTCTCACTTTCCAATTTTTCCCTTCACTTGCAAAGCCCGTTCTGAGTTCATGGAAAGTTCCTCCACGCCGACACCACCGCCTGCCACATATACGCTCCCGTCCGCTGGCAGAGAGTGTGTGCAACAAACTCCACAGATCAAGAGACAGAGCTTTAAGCTTCTCCAAGTCAAACTCAGAGTTCATACGCACCGGCCAAACCAAACTGCAACGCACCCTGCAAAACTGATCGCTTGAAACCAAACCCAAACAAACTGAGGCACTTGAGACACGCATGCAAACAGAAGCAGACTGAGCTCGCTGTCCTGTGATCCGCTACAGCCGGCTATCACCTTGCAGATAAGGTCTTACAGGGGAGGGATTGTCATGTGTCAGCACACACCCTCCCCCTCAATCCCTCCCGTCCCGTCCCGTCCCGTCAGCCCCTTGCAATAACAAACCCCCGTGCAGCAACGCCACTCGCCTAGAGTGTCTAACAGGAGAGCGGCGCTATAAAACCCTTTCATTTGCACACTAACCAAACACTTCCCGCAGACACGAATCAATCATTAACAGCAGCCGGTAAAAGGCATTGAAGCAAGTAGCGCTGACTACTTACTCTCTTTCAGACACAGTTTCCCAGCACGTTCCTCACAAGAAAAAAAAAGAAAGAAAGAAATCCCAATGGAAATCAGAGTGCTTAAGGATTGTCAATAGATCCAGCTTCAGGACTGCCAGTATCAGCTGTTTATATGTCTGGATGTGGGATTGTTAGGACAGCGCTCACACACCCGCTCTGTCTGAGACTGAGTGTGTATCTGACACACTGGTGTAGTAAAGTCTCCCTCTGGCTTAATCACTGCTCCTCCCCTCACGCTCGCATAGTACGAGAAGCAGAGAGAGAGAGAGAGAGGGGTGGTAGACAGCACTGCCCTTGATAATCATTACAAAGACTAAAGGGAAACCACAAGAATACTCTGTTTACACCTGGTATTATCATTTTGGCCGATTGGATCACAATTGGACAACACTAAATACACGTGTACACGGGGTCTAAAACGTTGTCCACTTTCGACCACTTTCAGAGTTGAAAACGCATTCAACAATTGCTTTCGTAGTGTTAACTTAACACTCATGTGGTCGAATGCGTTCGAAACTGGCACAAAAGACGCCTATCTCCGCCTACTGACCTAATGCATAAACATTATGGGAAGTTTTCAAGCAACGGGTTTAAATTTTCTCGACTGGAGACTCAGATTTGGTTTGAAGACGAAAAACATACCAAGCACAACGTTCTCTCACCATTCCTGATTTCTAACTGACCGGCTGTCAGAGCAGAAACGAAAGCTGCTGATCTCCGTGTGTTTTTCAGACGTCTTCGGGCAAATTCGTAATGTAAATTGCATAAGCTTATTTTGTCCATTAGATCAAAAGATCTAAAAATAAATTTAAAAAAACATACATTTACCCGACCCTCCTCTCAAATAAATCAGGAAAGAAGTGATTGAAAGTGGACAAAGAGACCACGGGTATGTGTCTCCCTCGTCTACTTGTGATCCGATTGACCAAAACGCACCTTAATATCAGGTGTAAACAGGGGCATTGTTTCAATACTGGTGGTTACTTAAACATGAATTGATTAAACTGGAATTTTCAACAATGCTAATCTTTCTAAGCTTAAATGATTAAGACGGCAGAAGTAGTTGAAAGCCACTGTAAAAAGTGATCAGTTGACTTAAATAAGTGAGGAAACTGTTGCCTTAAAATAAACTTCATGTGTAATGGGAAAAATTATGTTATGTGAACTTGACAATTCCACACAACTTAATTTTTTCTATTACGCATGGAGTTAATTTAATGAAAAATTAAGGCAATGGGTTTCCTCACTTTTTTTAAGTTACTGATCACTTTTTACACTGCGTGAATGGAAGAAATGAAAACAGCTAGAAATTAAAAGCATTTTCAAAATGAGCTAAAAGCTGAATATTGTTCACGCTGTTTAGAGGCAGAGCCTAAACTAAAAAGAGTTTAGTTTATGATAGAAAAGACTTACAAACAACAAAATATTTAAATATTCGATGTTGGTGGGAGTGAATGTGAAAGTTTAAGAACTTTAGAAAACAATGATTGACCGTCTACTACCCTGAATATTTAAATGAGGGATATTTATGAATAAACAAAATTATAAAGAATTGTAAATTTAATTTAATTAAGAATTAATTGAAAAATAATAGGGAAATAAATAAATCAATATTTTTTTTTTCTTTATATTACTATGTTTATTATTACAGGCAAACTAAATGTAAAATAAAATAAAAATTTTAATTTTGAACGACCACTAACCTAAAAAATGTAATTAAATATTTCAATATTTTTATCCCCCTCAATGTCAATAATTAAATTATCCTAATTAATATTATAATGATTATAATAAACTATTTAGATAATTATTGTAATTATTATACATAATTAAAAATGTAATTAAATATAGTAAATGATAGTAAATAATCATTATATGAATTAAGAAATTTTTTTAAGATTTTTGCTCAATAAACTTGCCTTGCTTGTGTTGTTACAATCCCACAAGAAAAGTGAATACTGAAATACTATAACATCATATGAGTTGCAAGACACCAATAAAGGTCATTAATTGAAACTAAACACACCTAAAGGGCAACTGGCACTTCCGACTCTCGGCTCACGTTCATAACACCTACAGTGAATAGTGTTATTCCTGGTTGTGTGACAATCACCTCCTAACACAAGCGACAATATTTACTTATAGACCTTCTACATTACAAAGCCTTCTCCCTAAACAGTATTTCTAATCACAGCTTAAAGACAGACACTTAGGTGTTAAAACCGGTCCTTAAAATGTCACTTATATGCTTAAAACGGAGGGTGCTAGAACAACTGAAAGATATCAGTGACAGATCGTCTAATCATGCCCTAGTTAACAAAGGGAAGAGAACTACAGAGCACAATAGAGGAACAGTCACAGTTGGGAATCCCAGTGACTGAAATAGTGCCGCTAATTATGTATTGAGGGGAAATGCTAAGCAGAGAGACGGAATAGTAGGTTTGGGGTGTCAGGCTTCGGGATGCCGTCATTAGGAGTCGGGGGGCGAGCCAAATGCAGACACAAGCATGTCGAGAGAACCTGGAGGCAGAGCTGAGACACTTTTCAACCTCTTACTTACAGATGCCAGATGCGGACTGGGACTCCGCCCCTTTACACCAATCAGCCCTGGTCTACAATTACATATGTCATTTTGAAAACAATGTACACTGTAAAAGATTTGTTATCACAAGATATTTTCTTTTGTCGAATCAACTTTATAATAATTTATTTAGTTGAGATAACTTATTATTTTGAGTTTCTGATGGTTAAATTAATCTACTTCATTGTATTAACTCACTTTTTCCAGTTCAATCAACTTAAAATTTTAAGGCAACCTAGGTTACTTACTTTTTTAAGTTAAACCAACAATATTTTTTTATAGTGTAGTAATCACAACATTTTTTCTTTTGTCAAATCAACTTAAATAATTTATTTAGTTCAGATAACATATAATTTTGAGTTTCTGATGGTTAAATTAATCTCCTTCATTGTATTAACTCACTTTTTCCAGTTCAATGGATTTAAAATTTGAAGGCAACCAGGTTACTTACTTTTTAAAGTTAAACCATCAATATTTTTTTACAGTGTAGTTACCGACAAAGACATTTTGATGGCCCTCATTAGATATTCTACTAACTATAAGTAACTTTCCAACAACATGTCTGCCACGTTTAATTCGAGTATTAGTAGACTGTATGTTTAATATCTGATAACATTTTATTTTGATGCCCCAACTAACTTTGCAAATCCGAATACGAACACCTAACAGTCTACTTGATGAGAGTTAGTAGTTGCAAAGTTACTTATAGTTAGTAGATTGTCTAAAGTAGACGATCGAAATAAAGTGTAACCAAAGAAAGAAAAAGGATAAAAAGAATTAAGTTCTTAAAATTAAGCCCTCGGCCTCGTCCTGCTCGCCACAGAAACGTTCCATTGATGTAAAAGGTTTTTTATGGCTCCGTCAACAGCAAATAAAACCTTAAAGGGTTCATTTGGACTTAAGAAAATGTGGGACTAAACTGCTTAGTTGATATGGATTAGTTTTATGGTCTCTTTACGAACTTTTTGAAGAGTCACAGCGGTAGTTGCATATAGCTGTCAATGGAGGGACAGAAATCTTGGAGATGGTTCTCCTCACTGCGGAACATGAAATCCACGAGGAGTCGTCGGATCCTGATCCAACTCCTCCCAACCTACCCAACTCCGCCCCCTGATCCCTAAACCCACCCCTAATCCTACCCATCTCCACCCCTTGGATCTTAATCCGACTCCTCCCCGTGGATCTCATGTACTGCATTGAGGTGCTACTGGAAATCTCAGAATTCATCAAAAATATCTTCACTTGTGTTCTGAAGATGGACGAAAGTCTTGGGTGAATTTTCAAGAGTGTATTTGTCAGAATTCCTAAAATGCATTCAAGTCATGATGCATTTTACTGGGCTAAACTCATTTGCATCCACTTCCTTCCCATCAAGTTTGCATTTAGCTGTGAGTTAAATATTTTGTTAGTTGCAAACTTTTGTACAATCACGTTTTGTAATTAAACATGGACAGAACTTATGTGTCTCGCCATAGAAGCCAAATCTTGAATCATATCATGACTTTTAGACTTGCATGTTAAGATTCACCCATAAAGATTTTGTCATTTGACTTACGAGCAGCTCAAATCGTGCAAACTTCACCAGCACCCTACAGATCAACGAGTGTAATTCCCCCCTCTGAACCTCTTGGTTGACTGATGTGGCGTGAACATCTTCCAGGCAGCTTTGCCCTGGTCCCCTCGGCCCCTTTGTCATCTGAAGTTAAACTCCCAGGGCTTCATGTGCACCCAGCAAGGGGAAGCATTGGCACAAAAGTTTTCGGCTCTGTTAATCTCTCTATAGGGGGTGTGTAATCCCCTAAATTGGAACACAGATTAGAGTTGTTTAGATTATTCAGGACTGACATCTTTAAAGGTATAGTCCACCCACAATTAAAAATTATGAAAATATACTCACCGTCATGTCCTTCCAAACCTGAATGACTTTATTTATTCTTCTGCAAAACACAAAATATATTTAAAAAACAATAAATCAATGGGATCCAATACTATGTTGGACCCCATTGAATTGCACTGTGTTGGCAGACAAACTCTTAAAAAGAAAATACCTTGTTTTGTGTTCCACAGAAGAAGAAAGTCACACAGGAGTAAATTATTAAAATTTTTCATTTAAATAAACAAACTTCATTATAAGCCTGCCTTGTTTAACCAGGGAAGCGATGCTTATTTTTTTAATATTTTAAATTTAAAAAAGCGCATTTTCTCAAATGAACATGTATTCGCTTAAGTATTAAATAAGTCATCAAAAAAGCACACTGAAATAACATGAGCATCAATATTCTTACCAGGGACAAATAGTTATTCTGACCTCTATAGATTTGAATGGGTATTGCAATCATCCTCAGTGTGCTTTAACATGTGAAATCAAGAATGTAACTCATTTTGCTTTCGCAAGCACATTCTCACCCCGAGAACAGCAAAAATTTCTGCATAGGTTTTACATCGAGTTCGTTCTGATGTGAAGTGCCATTCTCCTCTCTAAATCTGAATCAACAATAGTGCCTCTGTACAGACTGACAGATAGCCAACACCACAGGAGGTGACGGCAAAGCTCCTTCTGAACGGGATTATGAGAATGAGACAAATAAAGACGCTTGGCTTATGT